TTGAGACAACGTCTCGCTGTGTCTCCCAGGCTGGAGTTCAGTGGCGCTATCTCGGGCCGCTGCAGCCTCAGCCTCCCAGGTAGCTGGGACTACAGGCCTACGCCACCACACCGGACTAAGTTTTGTATTTTTAGTAGAAACTAGGTTTTACCATGTTGGCCAGGCTGGTCTCCAACTTCTGACCTCAAATGATCGGTGGCCTCGGCCTTCCACAGTGCTTTAATTACAGGTGTGAGCCACCACGCCCAACATAGATTTTTAATTCTATTGAGTCAATGAGTCTTTTTAGGAGATTGATATAGTCCATATTTTTTCTTTTTTATAAGTTATTTTCGCCACTCATTTGTTTCCCATCCCACCTCCATTTTTAATGACTTGAAATCCTGGCCAGTATTTTATTTATGTTACCTAGACAATGTGGACATGAAATTATAGGTAAAGGATTTAGTATTTTCTGTGATATGTCAAATTTGTACTTGGAGAAAGAGGGAAAATTTACAGTATCTAGAAGGCTCATTCTCCAAAATGATTTCTTTTGTCTTCTGTTGTAAGGTGGAGGTTGTACAAAATCCAAAAGGATACACAGAAAATGTTTGGCAGAAGGACATCTGCAGTACCTTCATCCAGAAGAGTCAGTTGGCAGATTGGTGGCTTTAAAAAATAGTTTACAAAAAAAAAAAATTTACTTTTTTTTTTTTTTTTTTTAAAAATAGATTGCTTTTAGACATTTACCAGATGTTTATCTTAGGAAGATAAAAGGTCAGAAAAGAGTCTTGAAAACAGAATTTGAAAGCTTTTGAGATCAATAAAATTGTAATAATTTATCAGAACTGCAGGGAAAGTGGTGGAGATTGATGTTGGCCTAATAAGTAGTAGAATCTCAGAAGTATTGGAAAGCACTGAGAGTATGAGCTTAGAGCTCCTTGTTGTTATCTTACAGGGTTTACAACATCTTCAGGAAGTGAGGTAAAGTGTCATCAAAGCAGGAAGTGAGAGTCAGGACTTAGACATTTTCTTCTCATACACTGACTCATGACAGTAATTATGTTTTTTAAACTTCCACATCTTTAGAAAACAAAAGAGAATTCCTACTTGGGGAGGTATGGTGAGGATTGGAGATCTTGGCTCCCCAAATATCTTTCATCCAATGATTTAAAGTATTTTTATGCCAAAAACAGCATCTTATTTCAAGTATTTCATGTTCTGTAGTCACAGTTGTAGATGTTTCCATCAAAAAAATTATTGGAAAAGTAAACTAGTTATGGTATCTATAGAATTTTTAGAACAATTACCTGGGAGTACAATTTAAAGGAAAATTCAAAACTAACTACTTCAGTATGACCTTGAAGTTACTACACCTCATTCTTCAGCTTCCCCTTCTGTGAAATGGGAATAATTATACCTTATTTACTAAAATAAGAACCTCAGCTTGGGGTCTGGCCCATTCTAAGGCCCTTAAATTCTAGTTGAATCTAAGAAAAGTAGCTTTGAAGAAAAACATACCTAACATCTAAGTAATGCTTAGTTCAAATATCAACATGCTTATCAGAGTACCTTACAAACTTACCTCAGTGTTCTCATTCCTTAAAGTGAATGTTAAATATTTTAATTGTAACCATTCAAATTTTTCTCAAAATATGCATTAATTTTTATTTTAGCAAGGTGAAATGTTAATGCACTGTCTCCTAAGCCACTGTTTGTATAACTTAAGGGTGGTGAATGTTGTCTTTAATAAATAACCCTTATTAAAATAAAGAGAACTGTATAATAAGTTAGTCATGAAGTTACCATAGTAGTTATACAAAGAACCATTATAACCAAACCTTTATTGATTTTATAATATTAACTTACCTTTTTTTAAAACATATCTGGGATTATTTTATTTAATGATGCTGTCTGCTTTCAATGTTGTCGGAGTAAACAGTTGCCAGCTTGTTACTACAAAGCCAATGTTGTATTAAAAATTGCATGTTTGGAAAGGCAGATGGGTAAAAGATTTGTGACCTTAGTTTTTTTTATTTAGCACTTTAAAATTCTACCAGATTGTTGGTAGCTTAGGAATCCTGTGTCTTTTATGAAGGCAGAAGGAAAACTGTTACATCAGTATTTGACTAGATGTTAAATGCCTATAAAAACATTAGGGTATTTACATATCCTGTGGCTGAAAAATAGTTTCTGTTTAAATTTCTGCAATTAAAAGCTTTTCTTTTGTTAATTGACTAAAATTAACTAAATCATTGGACATAATAATGCTTGCTTTGCAAAGAGACTTATTTTTTAGGGTTTGTTATAATTTAGATAATTATGTCAAATTTCAACAGAAGTTTTGTATTCTTTTGTAAATAGCAAGTTATCAAGGTTAGATTTATTGTATTTAATTTACTATGGTGAACAGATGGCTTGGTCTTCACTTGCACCTTAATACAAAAAATATATAGTGTGAAGATTTACTTGATTTAAATAGAAGAAAATAAACATATTTCTAAAGAACGTTTATTTTCTCTCTAGGTATGCATCCATGTGGAAAGGATGTCTGACACTTTATACTGGAAGAGGTGGTGAACTTCAAAAAATTGGGGAGTAAGTATTAAAATGCATTTGTATAATCGCATACATTATAAATAATATCTACGGAATAATTGGTAGGTATAAACTGTAAACCTCTTCCTTGGCTTTTTTGACTAGTAAACTGAATGTTTTTGGTAGCTTAATTGAAAAAATAACTGTGTGTGTACAAGTTTAACACTTGTTAGTAGTGTTTCCTATGGTTGAAAGTGTCCATTTTTCCTGGCAAAGAGCAGTTGAGGAAGCTGCAGTTGAGACCAGCCCTAGTGGGAGCATTTCTGAAGGCTTTAGAAATGTGCATTTTTACGTACCACAAGTGCCATTTGAAGTAGATTCTCTCTTCTAGTGATTCACCAAATACAAAGCTTTGATTCACCAAGTTTCAGGCCATAAGTTTAAATTTTCTTTTTCTGTGGTTATGGGTGAATATGTACTCATGTTAAAAGGACTTGCAGCGATGAAAACTGAAGTCCTCTATTTATCCACAGTCTAGGTGCGGTGCAGGCAGCCGCAATGCGAGATTCCATACACTACTACCCTGGTAATGATCTCCACCCTGACCTGGAGGAGCCATCCTCTCTAGGGGTGTAAGGTAATTCAGCCCCCATGTTAGCCTAGACATTGGGTTGTATTCATAAAGTACGGTATAGGCGATGAGCCAAATCATCAGTCCATTCTGTTTGGTTAATGCTCAGCCATCTACTTAATGCCTGTCAAATTGGAAGATATTTAAAGAGAGAAGCCACAAATGGCACCAAATAAAAAAAGGAAAAGTTTTTTTTTGCACTGAGGGAATAAAATACTTATTTGGAGAAACTGTGGTTAAGAATAAAGGAAAAGAAATGATCATGCTGGGTTTTAAAGATGAGAAACGTTTAACACTTTGCCTTTGTTAGAGGGAGAGTTAGGATTCACTCTGAGTAGTATTAATGGGGTTATGTGTTATGAAAGGTCTGTTACTGAAAGGTTCAGGATTCTGTCCTGACCTTCATGTATTTGTACAGAGGTGTTGATAACAGAGGTTAGTTGTATGAAGAACTATTAGAGATAACTCATTTCTTAATGACTGCTCTTTGTCAGGGTCAGTCTAGGATTTACCCAAACTGGTTCTGATTTGTCTTCTTTGGTAAGGTGAGGAGCTAATAAAATGCTTCTGTGTAATGTTACTACACATCATATGGCCAACTTACAAGAAGCGCTTGGATAAACTGGTGACTGTGTAACCTGTTGTTTTTATTTATTGCCTAGAAACCACTCTTAACCCTAAATGATTATCTTTGCAGATCCACAGTGATTGATCAAAAGAGGGACTGAATGGGAGTGGGTGATGGATCGATGCAAATCCATTACCACTGCTGGAGAAACCATCCTGGAACCCTAAACATGGTTCACTCTCATGTTATTTTTCCTTTGATCAACTTTTGTGGAAAAATGGGACAGAGATGTGTTTGTGTCCTTGAGTTTTGATATGATTTATTTTTTTCAGCACTAAATAATTTAAATACAAAATAGAATGTTATGTATCTTGTAGACAGTCAAATATTTGATGTTTTTATGGGACATAATTGTTTAGGAAGTTTTTGTTGTAAGTGAAGAGTTAGTTTGTTGCTCTTAATTTGTTTGACACATAAGTTCTTCAGTCCTAAAAGCTGGAGATGTTATATGAAGAAGGGTTGGTTACTTTATTTCAGAAGTTATTTAATTTGTTCTTTATTTTCTTTCAGATTTTGTATGGTTTATTCAGAAGTGCCAAATTTCAGTGAACCCAACCCAGATTATCGAGGACATCAGAACAAAGGGGTAATTGTGTATACTTTTATGATTAAGCTAATTTTTGACTGTGTTCTAATTCTATGACTAGGCTAGTCCTGTTGATAGTATAATGAAGAGAACTTTTAAAATAATAATTTTTATTGGATGTTTTGTGAGTACATATATCTGAGCTGTCATCTACTAGATACATGTATGCCATTTAGCACTTTGGGGAGTGGTGAGTTATTATCAGGAAAGAGGATGTAACAGAGCTTTGAAAGGTTTGGAAAACATTTAACATTTTAACCTTGAAGGACCTAGGAAAAACCTTGTAAAAATTTGTTAATTAAAAAAATCCAAAACTTTAAAAAAGAAAGGATATAATAATGTTGTAATAATATAATTGTGTTTTTATTCTCACTTGGTTAAATTAAAAACTTTTTTTTAGGCACAGAGTGAACAGAAGAATAATTCCATGAATAGTAATATGGGTACAGGTACATTTGGACCAGTGGGTAAGATTTTGTTTGTGTGTTTCATTTGTGATCAGCTGTAAGAATTAAGAGAGTTATAAAGATTCAGATGAAAACTGTCTTTAGGCATAAATTCGTGATAAAGGTGAACAGGGAATCCCTGAATGGCAGGTTTTCTAGAAAGCCGATAGACTCTTAAGCCAGTTTATTGAGAATTCTTTCTTAAGTTTTGGTGACGTCTGTGAAGAGATACCATGTTATTTTTTCTAAAATTGATTTCTACAAAATTTCTGTAATCTAGTGAGTACTTATAGTAAATGCAGAATTGCTGGTTATTGTGGTGCACTGAAAGCCCTTATCTTTAGAATAATAGTTCACCTTAATTTTTCACGTACTAGGAACTGCTGCTTTAAAAGATGAATCAAGCCCTTTAAAGGCTAGTGACCCTCAAATGTCATTTAACACGACCCCTAGATGTCATGTTCATGGTCCTTGTAGCCCTGTTAAAGATCTTTTAAAGTCTTTTTTCTTAAATATCTGAGGAGGAGTCTTTTGTGATTGGAGTTCATTAGGATGGCTCATGTTTTGGTTTTTGTTTTGTTTTTGAGACAGGGTCTCACTCTGTCACCTAGACTGGAGTGCAGTGGTCTGATCTCAGCTCAGTGCAACCTCCACCTCCCCAGGCTCAAGCAATTCTCCTGCCTCAGCTTCCTCAGTAGCTGGGATTACAGACGCACGCCATTCCCGCCCTGATAATTTTTGTGTTTTTGATAGGGATGGGATTTCACCATATGAGCCAGGCGTCTGGAACTCCTGACCCCAAATGATCCACCCAGCTCAGCCTCCCAAAGTGCTGGGATTACACGCGTGAGCGATTGCCCCTGGCCAGCTAATGTTTTATTTTACTTGAAGGCTACACGTCTTGGCACAGCTGATCACAGTGTGGGAAATGCTGTCTTTCCCTTTAAAAAGTTAGAATAACATTGTCTGCTTTTAAATATTAATCATATTTGAGCCAAATTCCAGTACTCAAAACACTATTTTGTGTTTTTCTTTTATAGTGTAGGCAATGCATTTTTAAACTCTGTTTCTAATTTTGATGCCCAAGTTGGCTTTTTTCTCTCTATTAATACAGCATCAAATTAACTAATATATCTATAACAATACATTTGGAAAAACTTAGGGCCCACATTGAGTTGTTTTGTTTTGTTTCAGTATAAAAATAAAAGTGTGCTTCCCCTAGTATTTTTAAGCATTAGTAACATGTGTTGGAACTTAAGATAGTTGTACTTCTATAGATGATTGTGGACTACTTCTGCAAATAGTGATGGGTTTTTGTATTCTTTTTTAGGAAATGGTGTTCACACTGGCCCTGAATCAAGGGGACACCAGTTTTCACATGCTGGCAGAAGCAATGGCTGGGGACTTAGAAATCCACAACTACCAGGAACAGCTAATCAAACAGTGATGACCACAATAAGTAATGGCAGGGACCCTCGGAGAGCCTTTAAAAGATGACCTAGGCCCAATACTCACATGTAGTTTTTATACTACATGCCCTACTTGAACACTTATTGCACTTTTATTTATTGTTAACTGTGAAAAGTATGTCCTTTATTGGATTTCCTTTTGTATTCTTGGTTTGTTAAGAAGAATGGTTTGTTTTTATAGCAAAACTGTTAAGCTGCTCAAGTCTCCTATTGAAGAATGGGAACACTGAAAAGTAGGGGCATTTATTTTTAGAGCAAAAAGACTGTTGGAGAGCCTCTAAAAAACCTGCACCCATTTCATGGGTGAGTTACTTAAGACATCAGCTTTATAGCCTCTATGAGTCTTTATCTTCTGTATACGTTTTGTAATATTTAACACAAGGCTTAATGGGAGCTGTTCTTTTGTCTTATATTCAGATATTGCCAACTAAAGCAATAACCATCAAAAAACACAAGAACTTTTCAATGCTAGCTGTAAGTTTTGAGTGTTTGTGGCTCTCGGAATGATTGACTTAATTGAGCGACTGCCATTAAGATTTTCCAAGGACTGACTCGTCCTAAATTTTTGTTGTACTACCAAAAAACAGATTCCTTATCAGAATTTGGAATAGAATGTGATCTATATTGCAACAAGTAATTTTAAAAGAAAACTACGTTTATTTTAGAGTAGTATTCCTAATATGTATTATCAATATCAACTTTGTGGATTACATTGGAAGAATATTGAAACTGGGGCCTTGGATATTTTTTGAAACCACCATGTTAAATATTGAAGTATAATTTGAGGGAGTTATAAAGTTACAAACATTGATCTGATTATTTTCAAAAATAATTGTGAACATACTGGAGGTGAGTCAAATTGAATTCATACAGTAACATGCAGTCTTAAGTCCTAGTACTCAGCCTGGAGTAAAAATCCTGGGTACTAACTTTGAGAGGCATTAGTGTGTATATTGTCAAAGTTTCTGAACACAGTTCACATAGCCTTATTAGTAGAAGTTTAAGAAATGGCTCTATCAAACAAGCAATTACAGCTTTATTCAGAAATGTAAAGGTGGAATTTATGTACATGTCATAAGTGGTACCCACGTCCCTTTTTACTGTAGGGTGAAGAACTTAGGATTTAACTCTTTTTTAATATTATCTCTTGAATAAAACTTGTGTTAATGTTAACAAACCTACTTAATTTTTGCTCTTTCAATGACTTCCAGTGGAGAGCCAGTACATCTTAACTACTGTTGTAGTGATGGCATCAACCTCATGGTTACTTAGCCCTGCATTTGTTGCTTTGTTTTTTTCCCACTTCAGATCACAAAATAATTAAGTAGATTTCGTTTTCTGAAAACTCCATAGCACTTGAATATAAAAAGTTGTGCCAGATTGTTTGTTCTAATTTAGTGTATTTTTAACAAATATTTCCGTACACACTATGTATTAGGCACTGTGGAAAGTGTTAAGGGATAGACAAAATACCAAATAATCTTCACAAGTTTATTTATGGTCTATAGTACTTTTGTAACTGGGGTTACAAAAATTATAGAATCTTTTTTCCTTTATTCATGTGCATATTAACGATTATAGTTAATTTGGCTTTGTGATTAATGTTTTCTTAAGATTTTCACATTACAGAATACCTCAAAAGAGGTAATCTAAGGATTGGGATAGAGAGTATATTTCATAAGATGGTAGATGTTTAGAATTAAAAAACACTACAAATTAGTGTATGATTGTTTTATCTAAGATAGGAGCAACACTTTATCACTTTGTGGGAGAATATGGCATTAAAGGTGATTTTAAAAGAAGAGATTTTGGAGTTTTAGAAAATTAAAATACTGTCAGGTATGCAATTCTGGGCTTCCAATCCTGGCCTCCTTGTCTCCTCACCTGTGATGTTGGGTGAGTTATTACACTTGAAACCTCTAATCCTTAGGTTCCACAACTATGAAAACAACAGTATCCTTTCTAGACTTGTTTAAGATTTCCATGTAAGTAATTATAATGACTTCTGACACGTAATAAGCAGTCAAATATTTGTCATCTTATACCCTAAGAGCAGGAAAAAATGCAGAATTCAGTATGAAAGTATTGTTACCTTTTAACACAGTGGTCCCCAACCTTTTTGACACCAGAGATGTTTCCTGGAAGACAGTTTTTCCATGGGATGGGGGGATGGTTTTGGGATGAAACACTTCCACCTCAGGTCATCAGGCATTGGTTAGATTCTTGTAAGGAGCATGCAACCTAGATCCCTTGCATATGCAGTTCACAATGGGGTTCGTGCTCCTTTGAGAATCTAATGCCACTACTAATCTGACCAGAGGCAGAGCTCAGGCAGTAAGGCTTCCTCGCCTGTCACTCACCTGCTAGGTGGTCCTGTTCCTAACAGGCCGGAGTTGATACTGACCTAGGGGTTGGGGACCTCTGCTTTAACATATTGTGAAATAGAGAAAGACCTAAGCTTTTACTTTGGTGTTTGACACTTGCTTCAATAATGTAACTTTATTCTGTGTTTTTGTCATTTATTAACAAATTTCTTTTTTCTTAAGGGGAGTCTCCAAAATCAAAGCAAAGTGAGTTACAATCCATAATGAATATTTGCCTTACCAGCCTACTGGAACACACTCCTCAAGAAGCTAAAAGGAAGAAGTTTTCTACCTACAGCTATCAACTTCGAAATAAGTTTAAACAACACCTACTGAAAACAAAAACCAATTAGTATAAAAATATCCCCCACCAGAACCGGGTCCCCCATATCATTTCTACAAAAGGGTTCTGGGATGGATCAAAGTCTTATCAGATCCATTTGCTTCTTCTTGTTTGGGCAGGTTCTAGGAGAAGTAGCTGTAATACAGAAACTGAACGATGACATCCATAAAGCCAGATAACGATATTTAGCAGGGATGGCTACAATATGCTTTCCATGGGCACTTAAACACTCAGTTTTTCCTAGTGTATCAACACTCTATACTTTGTCCCTGTAGTCTTTGTACTTTTAACTTTGATGACCATTTAACTTGAGGATAATCTGAATATGTGCAGTACTATTTGCCATTTGTATTTTTATCATTTAACATTTTAAATGAGTGCTTAATTTGTTGGGTTGAGTAATACCAAGGGAGTGATGCTAAAAACAAATAGGAAGTTAGTAAAAGAATTAAAGTTACAATTTATGATATGAGAACTTCTAAAGCATAGGAAAGTAGGCAAATGGCCCTAAAATGTTTTCTCAGAAGGTACAAGCTTTACATCAGTCTGAAGACATACAGATCTAACATTTCAGTTTAGTTGCTGAAATGACTGACATTTTCTGGTGTCGTTGACATACTGCCTATTTGCTCCAAGCCATTTTAGGCTCAGAATGACTGTGAAGTTCTTCTAATGTATATAAAGCATTCTAGAATCAGCAAACTGAACATGATAAGAGGCAGTACCAACATGGAATTCCCCCAAACAAGTCCCCTCTAACCTTACTGAGCTTACTTGCACTATTACTAATATATGTATATATATATGATCTTCTGTTGCTTCTCTATTTTATCCCTTACCTGATGAAAGTTTGAACATTTCTAGTGGAGAAAGAAGATCATAGTTCTCTAGTATGGGCAGTAAGAGGGGTACAGGTTGGGTTAGGGGTACAGTGGTAGGCTGCCTCCACTGGGGTTGAAAACTTGTGTGCCTAGGTTTCAGCCAGTGATTACACTGGGTAATTAACCAGTCCCATATTTCACAAAGGAGTTGTAATGATTAACAGTTCAGATATGCTTCTGAGGAAATCTAATTGTGACCTTTGGAAAATAGCACTGTTATGAATAGTGTGGTTTACGCCCTGAGGGAGAAGCTAGAAAAACATTTTACTTTTCAGGTATATTTAAATTATATCCAAATGTCTCAGTTTGCTTTACTGGGAACTTCCTGAGTTTGGAGTTCAAATATTGTAACCAAGTTACTCCAAGTTTCTGAACTAAACATCTATAAATGTTTCTCAAAGTATAGATCACAGAGTAAGAAAAGGGGAAATCAAGTCTGGTTTATGACCAGCTTTTTTCCATGTTAACATTAGGCCTAGAGATCTTACTAAGATTTTACTGTGAGATAACCAGTATGATGTGAAGACAAACATTTTAAGAAGTTTGACTAGTGGATATTTCGTTTAAGCCTTTTGGAAGGTCTTGATCCACAACTCACAGTTTTATTGTGCCTCCCCAGGCCTTGAGAACATGTCAACCCAAGGCTTGGATGATCACTGTTGACCTGTAAAAGAGCACAGGTCTCTTGAGAGTTTATTGACACACCCCCACAATATGTCTCAACCTCTGTTGAAAGGCTAGTGACATTTTTAAAAACCTGTTATTTCCAATCAGAAATTTAAGTATGTTTTATGTCTTTCATTCCATAAAAATTTATGCTTCTCAGCATAGGGTAGTCTAGTTTCTTGGTGTGTATATTAAATACATTGAATAAAATTCTTAATGATTTAGAAATAATGTACATGAGACTTCCCAGGAACTTGTCAAAATTTCGTATGGCACCTCTGCACCAATAACATTAGTGTACATTTGGGAGACCTGCACTTGAAACCCTGAAGTTGCTTACCTCCTGCCCTTGCACTCTCCCTCTGTACTGAAATTATGTATATATGTTTTCTCAGTTTCTTTTACCTTTTTGAGGCTGATACATGTTGAAGTTTTGGGTTGTAAAACAAATTGTACTTGGGGAGAATTGTTGGGTAAAGCATATAGCCCCAAGCAGAGTAAGAGGTTCAGTGTGGCCTCTGGATGTGGGCATTGCAAATTTTGAATTAGGTTCAAATAAAATTACTTAAATTATACATCAATGCTAAGATCAGATATTAATAGGGAGGCCACATGACTTTGAGCCTATCAAGATAAAATGCTTTTTTTGCCCTAAGTTTTTGAAAATTAGAGTTTATTGTTGCTCATCTCAGCAAATTCATGTCTTCGGCCTCCTCTGCCGTCCTCCTGTCCCTCAGTTCCCTACTTTATTATATGAAAAAGGCTGGCCAAATTGAAAAGTAGCTCAGTTGGAGAGCTGAAAAATACTTTTGAAAATACTTACAGAAACCACCCTTCATCTTCCGCATAAAGATCTCAGTCCTGTTCAGTACCGAGAGGCAACTACAATGAATATTTTCTACAAGTAACATGGAAAGCATGATATGAGTGCCATGACTTTCTAATCTTCACTAAATGTTTGTAGCCCTGGTAGGAAACAAACTTCTGACCTAAGTTGCCGGGCTACTTGAATAAAAACAAGGTAGTCAGTACAAATAGTGCCATCTACTGGGTCATTACTGCATGGTTTCTGTCTGTTCAGAAATCCGGCTTAGTTTAACACGTGGGGGAAACAGTACTATTCCATTGAAAGTAATTTTTGCCTGATAGTGTAAGCATGATACGGAAAATCATTAAGGGGCAGTTGGGCCGTTTGTTTAGTTCTAGTTTATGAACAGTCAACACTGACATTAAATTTCAGTTAAGTAGATTAAACCCTGACCTGCCCCTAAAGCTATCAGAAATACGGGAAAGTTTGCCAAGTTTTGTATTCTCATTACATTTGTCAATATTGTTGGTGAGAACTGTAAACTGTTAAAAATGCCTTTTGGTGAGTGGTGGTTTGGTAAAGACAATTGAAGTAGAACACGACACTGCCCTTACAAATTTTATTCCCTTACCCAATGGTATTATGTAAAATCCTGGCCAAATGACTCTGCTGCTGTTGTGGTTATATTGAGCTTTGCAGAACATAACCTATTTTAAATGCCAGAATGTGCTTCAATGAAAAAGAACATGCTTTTGGGCTGAGGAGATCTTGGGTTGAGTCCTGATTTGATTATTTACTGGCCCCAGGACCGTGAACCTCGTTATAAAATGATAGTGGGGCTATGTACTCGTATTGTTAGGAGGACCGTGTGACCTAATGTATGCAAAATATCTGCCCCATATCTAAGGCTCAACAAATGTTAAGCCCTCTCTCCATCAGCATAGGAAATAAGAAAATACTGTTCATTTCTCCATGTCATTATTAGAAAACAATCTTCTATAATTTAAAATCTGAAATGTTAAGCAATATATATGAATTATTACAATTATGTTCTTTTTTAAACAGTCAAACCAAGTTTTTCCTGTCTTCTCTGGGCACAGAAAAGCACTTACGCTGACAA